ATTCATGAGAACTTTGATTCAATTAAATATAACTGATTCAATTCAAGCTAATTTATATCAAGCTAATTTTGAGTCACTTCAACATAACAAATTCAATTCAAGCTAACTTTGATTCAATTCATGATAACGTTTCATTTCATAATGACTCAATTCATGATAACTTAGATTCAATTCATAACTTTTGATTCAATTAAGGATAACTTTGATCCAGTTTAAGATAACCTTTGATTTAAGATTCAATTCAAGCTGATTTTGATTCAATCCATAAGAACTTTGATTCAATTCAGGATAACTGATTCAATTCAAGATAAATGATTCAATTCAGGATAACTGATTCAATTCAGGATAAGGTGTTCAATTCAGGATAAATGATTCAATTCAAGCTAACTTTGATTCAATTCATGAGAACTTTGATTCAATTCATGAGAACTTTGATTCAATTCATGAGAACTTTGATTCAATTCATGAGAACTTTGATTCAATTAAATATAACTGATTCAATTCAAGCTAATTTATATCAAGCTAATTTTGAGTCACTTCAACATAACAATTTCAATTCAAGCTAACTTTGATTCAATTCATGATAACGATTCATTTCATAATGACTCAATTCATGATAACTTAGATTCAATTCATAACTTTTGATTCAATTAAGGATAACTTTGATCCAGTTTAAGATAACCTTTGATTTAAGATTCAATTCAAGCAGATTTTGATTCAATCCATAAGAACTTTGATTAATTCAAGATAACTGATTCAATTCAGGATAACTGATTCAATTCAGGATAACTGATTCAACTCAAGTTAACTTAGATTCAGTTCATGATAACTTAGATTCAGTTCAGTATGACTGAATTAATTTGGGTTAACCTTTGATTAAATTCAAGATAACTTTTGARTCAATTAAGGATAACTTTGATCCAGTTTAAGATAACCTTTGACTTAATTCTGAATATRCATTGATTGAGTACAGATAACATTTTGTTTTCTTTCAGTAAACTGTACCTTTAACGAAATCTTAAAGATTCTTTCTTGTTATGCTTTCCTCACAAAACGGCTGCTCTTCCTCAGGTCCCTCGCCCACCTGCTGCTGCTGCTCATGGATTTGTTGTTTGCCCTCCACGCTCCCTGATGGGCGCTGAAAAGGAAGCGGATTAACAGGAAATGGCAACAGTATTAAATCAGGAGGAAACAATCAACTCTAACCCCGTTCACTTCAGAATCATTGGTACAGCTTAGAGCTGAGAGAAAACACTTGATGAGGATGGTCTGGTAAATATTCAAACTTGGYATTTTTAATGCTTGGGCCAAGTTTTTAGTCCCCAAATTTTCAACAGGGTCGAGGATTTGGAGAAGCCAATCTACTCAACTGTGTCCAAGTTTGATTGGAGGTGAAGACGATGACTTTGGATGTAMTTTTTCTTCATTATTCCATCTACTTCACATCATAATGCTTCCACCTACATTGATAGCAGTTAGTAGTTTTAGGTTTGAAAGCCTCAAATAAAGACCTTTCCCCCTTCACACTCAACACTAGAGCACCTCAGGGATGTGTGCTTAGTCCTCTGCTTTACTCTCATGACTGTGTGTTCTCATTTAACGGCGATATCGTAATCAAGACAGGCCGATGTGAGGTTTATCTATCAGAGTAACAAGAAATACCTCTGCCTGTGAGAAAGCTGGTCCCTGGAGCAAATCCACCTGTTCTACATCTGTAAAATTAAACAGATTAATATGGATTCCAGGCAAAAATAAATAAATTAAAAWACACCCAGAGTGACATCCATCCTGAGGTGAAGAGGGTCGGCTATACTTCCCAGTGACCATTTAACAAGATCCATCCTGGTCACTCTCAGAGGTTCTCAAACTGGGGTCCCTGGACCCCCAGGGGTCCGCGAGAGGTATCTTGGGGGTCCTCAAACATTTTTACTAAAATGTTAATTTTTTGGTTTTTATTTTTAAAAATGCATGAACTAATAAAACAAACATAATAAACCTAATAAAATACATATTCCCATGGTGTTTAGGGGTTGAAATGACAATAAATGATCTTTTAAAACAGCATTTGGTTTATGAGGGGGTCCCTGGAAGTTTTTTCGCCCAGACCCAAATGGCTTGAGAAGCCAACAGAGCAGTTAAGACCAAACGGCACCTCATTCGTCTCAGAGACTTCAGGATCTTTGACACCTGAACCATCGAGAGCACCACCAAGAACTTCAACTGTTCCAGCAGATTTCATCCAATGTGCTGAAAAAACAAATCCTTTTCATGCCAGCAGAAAGAAACGACCAGTTTTTGAAATGTTTCAGGTGAACATCTGGATATATTTAGAGAAATTCCACAATAGATTTAAAAACTTGTCACATATTTTTTTGTTTAAAAGGTCCTTAAGTTAATGTGACATTCAGGCACATGAARGGTTCATTTGAGTGTTTTAATTAACCTTTAAGGTTATAAAGATATTCAGACCCACCTGTAGCGCAGCAGCGGCGGGGGTCCGGCGGCGGTGCGTCTGCGGGGCTTGGCGCTCCGTTTCCGGCGGTCCATCAAGCCGCACACCAGCTCGTGCGCGATCATCACGTAGAGCAGGAAGATGAGCACGGCGGGGTCCATTCAGAGGGGACCAGGACCACCGGACCCCGCACGTGCAGAGAACCAAACGAGACTGACGATGATGATCCCCCTCTTCCTCCTCCTCCTTCAGAGACGACAGCAGAGGGTCGCACGCTGCAGTGGAGGATGTTGCCTTAGAGACGCGACCGTTGCTAAGGGCAGGATGTCGTCATCTCCTCCTCATCCCAAGGACGCGCCAGACATCAGATCAGATTCTTGTGGAGCACGCCGATGTGTCCTCAGGAGACTCCAGATTTATTATTATTTTATCCTGAAAATCCGCTTAACTTGACCAGTTTTCATAAAACATTCAATCCTTTTAAAATAAATTAAAGCTACAATTTATTGAAGGAATGCATATCGCCCGCTTCCTTTTAAGCCAAAGTTTTCGAATAAGATCATCTTATATTAAACCACGACTGAGCACTTGTTAGGTGTGACTCTCATCTACTATCAAACCAAGTTCCAGCTTAATTTTAGAAAAACTGACCAAATTGTAGCTAGTTTTGTGTTTTCTAAGATCGGTTGGCCTTGGCGGCCAACTTAAATACGGTTGACTCCAACAGTTAATCAGTTGAAGTTGTACATTTGATGGTTACTTCCTGAAAGTTTCATTAAAATCCCTCCACTGGTTCTTGAGATATTTTGCTAACAGACAGACAAAGTTGACTTCAATAGTAAATGCTAAAGTTTTAAAAGCAAATCTCATTTAATCGGTTTGTTCTCAGAGTATGTTTTATGGGTCACTCTCAGTTACTACCACACCAAATTTTAGCTCAATATCTAGATAATTGTCTGGGTTACAGACGTTTTTGTGTTTGATAAAACTGATTGCCTGTGGTGGCCATTTTGAGTCGCTTTGACTCGGAAAGGTAAATTCTTGTAGATGTTCATCCTAATATCCCTTATTGTGAGTTTTGTTAAAATCCGTCCATCGTCTCAGAAGATATTTTACTAACAATCAGATGAACGACACAGACACAAGTGATTACACGATCGCACAAACTGCAACTTAATCGTCTAAAACGCATCATAAAAACTGTAACAATATTTCCAAAACACTTTATTTCTAAACAGATATATTATTTTAAAATGTTTTAATTCATTATTTTATGAGATTTGAAAATGTGTTTATAATGTATTTCATGGTTGATTTTCCCTGATTGAACACTAGGGGGCAGCAGAACTACTGAGAGGTCACAGGGCGCAGTTCAAACAGTCTGTTCACTTACAGCAACCAAAAAATAAATAAAATAAAATAATTACGTGGCTGATTTTTCCCCATGAGACCTTCTGAGGATTAAACAAACTCCACTTTTACAAACCTGCCGCCTGAAACTAACATCCTTCAACAACTCAACCGTGATCGTCAGACGTCCGTCAGATCTGTGTGACACAAGCAGTTCTGCAGTGACGTCACCTTAATGTCTCCAAAATCACCTCCAGGTCAAAGGTCAGCTCAGATTTCACTCCACCTCCCGCTCTGCGTCAGAAACCTGCAGCAGGAAAAAATGTTAAATAACATTTTTCTGAAGGAAGTGGTTATATTTAAGGAAGTTCTGACGCTGTAACAACAATAATGCCCAATTATTGCACCAATACGTTGACGATATAACCAAATAACTAAAAGTACTCTTGTGATGATAACTTTTTTTGTCTGTTTTATGTATTAAGCCTGCTTTTTTGGCGTTGTTAGTTTTTCTTCTTTTTTTAATCTCTTTATTACACTGTTCTATAACTCAAATTTCTGCTCGGTTTTATGATAAACTTTATATATTTATATGTGAATTGTGTTGTGTTTTTGAATTTATAATGAAAAAAAATCAGCAGGTTTCACAGACACAATTCAGCGTCGCTCAAATGTGAAAGCAGAGCGCCTTCTAGTGGCTGAGAAACAAACTAAACTAGAGATTGAAAGAAATCAGATTAAATAGAAATATATCAAACAAACTTTATTTTAAAGTCACAGAGTTAGCTACAAGCTACAAGTATCAAAATGCTAATTAAAAATATAAAAAGACTAACTACAAAGTAGCATTATCAAATGATAGGTAAATGTTGCAAAAGGCTAAACAAAAGCTAAAAAAAGCACAATACAAATCATAAAGAGGCAAAAAGCTAGCAAAGCTACAAGCTAAAACAGCAGAATGCTGGCTAAAAATATCAAAACACTACTTAAAAATATCACAGAGCTGGCAAAAAACTGAAAATGACAAAGGACAAATTAAAACACTAAAGTAGCAACAGGCTAACCATAAAGCTATACTAGAAAAGTTCTGGTTAAAAGCCTAAAGTAGCTAAAATCCAAAAACAATAAAACAGAATACAATCATAAAGTAGCAAAAAGCCAAAAACAGCAAAGAACTGCAAAGATAGATTAAAGCTGAAAGTAAGAAAACACTAGCTAAAAAAGAAAAGTAGGAAACATCAGCCAAAAAACAGCAAAATGCTAACTTTAGGCCAAAACAACAAAAAGCTAACTGCAAGTATCAAAAGGCTARCTAAGAGCTAAAAATGACAAAAGACTAAGTAAAGTATATAAGTAGCAAAAGGCTAACCATAAAGCTATACAGAAGAAGTTCTAGTTAAAATCCTAAAATAGCTAAAAGCTAGCTAAAATCTAAAATCAATGCAACAGAATATAAGCATAAAGGGGCATAAAGTTAGATAAAAGCTAAAAACACCAAAAGGCTAACAAAAAGTACTGAAAGGACAAAATAAAGCTGAAAGAAATAAAACACGACCTAAAAAATAAAAGTAGGAAACAATAGCCAAAAATAACAAAATGCTAACCATAAAGCTATGCTAGAGATGTTCTAGATGAAAACCTAAAGTAGCTAAAAGCTAAAAATAATAAACCACGAATCAAAAGGAGAGATAAAAACTCAAAGTAACAAAAGGAAATGTAACAAACACTAGCTAAAAGTAGCAAAAGACAAGCTAAAAGCTAAATAATGAGAACAAAGATAATAAAGGTAAAAGGTGCGACTCACAGCGAGGTCTGATTCGTAAGCCTCGTTACTGAAGCCCCCGGCAGCCGAAGAAGACGAGTGGTGTCCAGCTTCGGCTCTTTTGGGGCCTCGCAGGTAAAACACCAGCAGGCCGATGAGTGTGGCGACCAGCAGCAGGACCACGATCACAGCCGCTGCGACCCCGCCTGCATTGTACGGCTTCTTTGAGGCTGCGGACGACACAGAAAGCTGCAGTTCTACAAAACGCTTCACAGATTAAATTAAATTACAAAGKAGATTAAATTTAAAGAACGCCTATKGCCCACCGCCATCAGACYAACTATTTGTCTGTTAGCAAAATATCTCATCAACCACTGGCTTGAATTTAATGAAACTTTCAGGTAAAAATCATTTGATATAAATCTACAARTGATAAACTTTTGGAATCAATCCAATTCAAGATGGCCGACGCAGCTAACTGARCTTAGAAAACAAAAAAACAGCTAAWATTCAGCCATTTTTACAGATATTGCCCTGAAGATTGGTGTGGTAGTAGAGGAGAGTTATTGACAAAATGTACTAGAAGTGCAACTRGCTGTGAAAAATCTTGGCTTAAAAGCTTAGCACAGACTGTTGGGAGTCATTTTCACTGTCTGTTAGCAAAATATCTCATCAACCACTGGGTTGAATTTAATGAAACTTTTAGGTAATAATCATCGGTTATAAATATACAACTGATAAACTTTTGGAGTCAATCCAATTCAAAATGGCAGATGCAGCTAACCGATCTTAGAAAACACAAAAACAGCTAAAATTCAGCCATTTTTACAGATATTGTCCTGAAATTTGGTACGGTAGTAGAGGTGAGTTATTGACAAAAAGTACTAGAAGTACAACTTGCTGTGCAAAATCTTGGCTTAAAAGTTTAGCACAGACTTTTGGGAGCCAACACTTTTTTGTCTGTTAGCAAAATTTCTCATTAATCACTGGATTGAATTTAATGAACCTTTCAGGTAATAATCATCAGGTATAAATCTACAATTGATAAACTTTTGGAGTCAATCCAATTCAAGATGGCCACCACAATTAAACAACATGAGCCAGCGTAAAATGGCTTCAACTCAGTCATTTTTTACAGATGCTGAGTAAGTTTGGTGTGGTGGTAGCTGAGAGTGACTAACGACACATCCAGTGAGTGTGACAGCTCATGATGCACATAACATTCTTTTTCGAGGGTTATCTTTGTCGGGTGATATGCATTCCTCTAAAGCCTTTGTTTGGATTATGATAAGTCTTACTTGAGCCTGAGTTCGTTTTGCCGCAGTGGCTGCCGATGGTGTACTCGATGTCATCCAGAGCAACGACGCCCGACGTCCCTTTGATCCCTTCGAACACAATCTGTCAGCATCAAAACACAAATCAGCAGCAGTTTATCTTTGCTTATTGACAGGGGGGTTGGGGGCGGGGCTTTCTGACCTGGTACTCTTCAGAGGCTGTGATGTTCACTTCGAAGTGTTTCCACGGTCCTCCCAGCTCATCCGTCGACAGCAGCGAATAAAAAAAATTTCTTGAAACTCTCCAGACCTTCAGCTGGCAGTCCGCTGAAAGACGAGGAGGAAAATGTGAAGCGCCGCGCAAAACAAAAACAAAAAAACAAATCAGTTCGCCTTAAAGCGTCGACGCTCACATGAATGGGGTTTGTAGGCCCAGAATCTCAGACAGGTGACCCCSTTTGAAAGCAGGTGAGGGCTCAGCAGCCACGCGTTTTGATTGGKCGCTGTCCTGTTGCTGCTCGGGAGGAAGAGGAAATGACCTGGAAGAAAAAACATATTTGTCAAATTAAATTCTGGAGCAACAAGTTAGTGCTCACAMTATGTATTGGCGATGACTCTCAGCTACTACCACACCAAATTTGAGCTCACTATATGTCAAATTWATTGAGTTATAGCCKTTTTTCTGTGTTTGTGTTTTTGACCTTTCTCCGTGCCCAGGGTGTGGTCTTCAGTCGGGGTGGAATAGTGCTGCTCTGCCTCGTGACTGGTCAGCTCCCAGTCCAGTTTGTCCAACTTGTTGTTCTGAGTGTTGCTCCAGCTGCACATCCCTGTCTCCAGGCTGCACCTGGAACCTGAGACGTGAAACGGGACCGAAACAGAAAACAAACTAAAAGGCCAAAATCTTCTTATGTTGGCGGGACGGTGGTTAGACTCGTCGCCTCTCAGTGACGGGCCCACCAGGACCACCTAAAGGCCCGAGGCCTTTCTCTGTGACGTTTGTTCTCATGTGGCGTTTTCTACGAGTGTTCCAGTTTCCAGCAAGGAGTTTATATAAAACAGCTGGAGCTCAGAAACCAGGTGACCGTGTGATCGGCTGGAGAAGCTAACGGCTAACGCTAAACAGTCAAGGGTCTGGATTTCCCATTACCAGTAGGGGTGTAAGAAAATAT